ATGTGCCAGCCTGCAGTGACATAACCTGCAAGGGTACGACAGAAGGTTTGGTTTATTTTACGCTACAAAGATGCTGTTTAAATCACTTCCTTGTTGTCATTATTTAGGTATTCTTTATCAGGCGTTTATGTTATTTATCTGGACAGGAAAACAATGGTTCTCAATTTGTGACCATTGAAAAAGTCAAGTTTTAATTTTTAGAAAACTATTTCTTTTGTCTATTTCATTTAAATTCATTTAAAATAAATTGTAAAATACGTTCGCGTTTGTTACAATTATTTCTGCATACAAAATATCACATTTAGGATTACCTTTCACATTTATGATTACCTTTCACATTTAGGATTACCTATAACATTTAGGATTACCTTTCACATTTAGGATTACCTTTCACATTTAGGATTACCTATCACATTTAGGATTACCTTTCACATTTAGGATTACCTTTCACATTTAGGATTACCTTTCACATTTAGGATTACCTTTCACATTTAGGATTACATGGGCGTAGCATAACGCTAGGACTGAAACTGAAAACCTATGGGATTAGGTATCATCAGAGGCGGTATCCGGGGTTAAAGGGGGTGCAAGCCCCGGGAGACCATCTAATAATGAATGTTTATTATTTACTTTAAGTGGGTGTGTGGGGTGGGGGCCACCTTTAGTTCACCATTGGACTTCCCGCAAGGTCTGAACAATCATGACATGAATGTTTGATTTGACTTTAGTGAGAGAGATGATAGCCTTCCATTCACTGATATGTGTCACTTGAATTTAACTTCCTAGTAATGACTTTATTCTTTTTACCCAAAACCTCTGAAGCGCTCAGTAATGGGGAATTTATAAGAATCTTAAGAATATTACTGACTATAGATTTTAGCACATTACTTCTATCGTCTCATAAACGGGGACAGAGGTCGTAGGTTGCGGGAGAAACGCTTAGCACAAGCCACGTGACTCAAATTTGAAGAGGACTTAAATACATGTTGACATGATAATGAATAATTTTTTTTTTACGTATAAAGTATTTGCATAGAATTTAAGCTTAGTTACATTACATTCAGTAGTTTATACCAACCAGGTTCTGATATTAACAACTTGTACACACTATCTAACTATTCGTTCTAGACTAGGGATCACCAAACTATGGCCCGCGGGACGGATCCAGCCCGCGACGTCAGTTCATCCGGCCCGCCGACGTTACATGAATTTTCTTGATAAAACGTATGGAACACGAGACTCTGTGATACAATTTATTTTTAAATATTTAATTTAGAATACTAGGACATCTTCACACATGCAGAGACGTCCTGACTGCTATGCGTCTTAAATTTAGCATTTTCAATTTTTAATTATTGTAACTAGATTTTCTTGTTTATTGAAGACCTGTTTAACATCGAACTCTCAACTCGTACAATATCGTCTCAAAATCGTATAATTCGTTATCTTAATAGTAAACAAAATAAAATGACAGTACATATGATGAATACAATAACTCCTCAAATCGCAGTGCCTAGTGGTATCCAGTTAAGCTGTCGTCAAAAAAGTTAATTACTAAATGTAGATGACCGACGCTTATATTGCTAGCTGCGGTTACTTTGTTGTGCTGAAGTATAGATCACATTATCACAGTAAGTCACTGTTAAAAATAAAGTTACAGGTGAAATTTAATGTGGTTCAAACACGAAGTCAGATCAGCAATAAAACAAGAGGTATTTAACAAATGATGACATCATTTAAAAAAGCTATCAAGTAACTTAAGATTTATTTTTTATGAAAAGCTAATTAAAAATGATATTTAAAAAAAATCAATATAAATTAAGCCTATTACCGCTATTATATTATGGCCTGATAACTATCACAAACTGTAAATGGGGGGGGGGGAAGAAGAGGTGTGCTGGAAACATACGGGAACATTAATAGGCGTAGTCACCGCGGTTGGAACTATCAGCCTTTCGGTAAATTCAGTTGTGCGGAGAACAGAACAATTTGTAGAGAACATAGAACATAGTGCTACAGATACGTGAGAAAGCTAGGAACTTGTTTTGGTATTCTCTGGCGCTGGATGAGTCTACTGATCTCTCGTTTACGTCACAACTTCTCGTGTTTATTTGTGGTGTCAATTTGGACTTTCAGGTAACGGAAGAATTGGCATCCGTTTGCGGCATGTATGGAACAACAACCGGGAAAGACATTTTCATGGAAGTGCAAAAACTTTTGAAGGCCATAACATTCAGTGGGATTAGCTTGGAGGTGTTACAATTGATAGGGGAAAAAGATGGCTGGTGTGAGACAAGGGCTGGTTGGGCGGATCAGGACTCAGTTCGAAGATTTGCAAACTCTTGGCGTTCTGTTCAAACTCTGCATCATTTATCAGCAATCACTTTCTGGGAAAGACGTAGATGTTACTTGTGTACTAAAACAAGTCGTTTCTGTTGTGAAAGTCATTCGATGAAATGAATTCAAATCCTGTTTCATTTATACCATCTCCGGAACGAAATAGATGGTTTTCCCACTGAAAAATATAGAGCTGATCCACTGCATTCAGACACTACATGGCTGTCAGACTCTACATGGCTGTCAGATCCTACCTGGCAGTCAAAGTATTTGAAGTCAACATATCGAACAAGAGTGACTGATGAACATTTGAAAGCAATTCTCTTGATTGGATGTACAAATTCCAAATCAATCAATGATGATATCTTGAAAGCCAAACGTCAGTTTCACCAATCTCACTAACCTTTTTGCTGCTTATTTTGTGAGATTCGGATACATGCACAATATTATTATTTTTTTTTTTTGTGTACATTGCACGCCACTCACCCATGGTAAACATGCAATACTAAATTTAGTTTTTCATCTTTTATCCCCATAGCTTTTTACCTGGTCAGCAAGTTTTGCTCAGAATAATTATGCGGCCCGTCATTTTGTCCGTTATCCGGCCGCGGTGAAAAAAAGTCTGGCAATCCTTGCTCTAGACTCCAGACTATCTAAAACGGCAGGATAAATAAGTTTCTACCAACTAGAGCTTGACAAAAGAACAAAATCACAAACCGGAACGAGCCTGATTAAACCGACTCGCATGGTAGGCGTAGGCTTACGTGGTCTTATTCTTCACGATTTTTCCTGTGTAAATGTTTTCATCGCTATAACTAGTTATGTTTCCTATAATTTTATAAATAAATTGCCCATAACATTACAGTGGCTTAAGTAGGGTTAGTGCCGACATAGGCGGGCCAAGATTTTTTCCGCCCCCCCCCCAAACGGTTCCACGAAGAAAGTCCTGTTGTCGGTCGTGTATGTCACCCCTCAAAATGAATCCAGGGACGAACCACCCCCCCTCGCCACCCTCTTCCTACGCCACTGTATCCCAATAGTTCTGGTAAGTTTATCCAGTCTTTACTCCAGCAGGTGTAATGTAATTTCTGCAATAAAAATTGATTTTAACTTTAACGTACTAACATGCATTTTACTTTAGCAATGTATACGAAATCTTAACAGTTTAATTTGAAGATAGGACACATCCTTAAAAAGAATTCTATGATTGAACCTTAAGTTTATTAATTGACTTTTGAACCTGTCTCTTTTCAATTCAGATCTGTGTGGGCTGACATGAATTATTAGCAACAGGAATTAAACAGGTTTAAAAAAAAAATAGTAAAAATCATTCTGCCGTGACAACAAAAATAGGTTGTAGTAACAGTGGCGTAGCTGTGTGGTAAACTCATATTGCCTCCCCCTTCCCCTGTCTTCCACAATGGATTTCTTCTTCTTAAAATAAACACACAGTATAACAATGACAAGAACAAAAGGCAATTAATTGAGGGTCAGAAGCAAATGTATTTACAAACTGTAACATGTAAGTAGATCGACAACTTGGTGTCAATGGAAAGTTTTATTCCTCACAATTTAGATAAATGTATCTTCTTGTCACAAACGAAAGTTGCGTAAAACTTCAATCCGCGTTGAACAATGGTCTAAAAGGTGTTTTTTCTGACCTAGTTATAGGGTCACCTTATTTCTGACACAATGAGCTTGAAATTTGACAAAGCAAATATTTGGATTGGTTACATGCGTGGAAAATTTATACGTGATAGGTTATCATTTTATGAAATTCGCTTAGAGTGGTTTTGTCTGTTCTGTGAATACACAATTTTTCAACATGTTGTCAGCGCCCCGCGATTGTCCGCTTCCACCCCCCTAGCTACGCCACTGCCGTAGGAATGCAATTTATCCTTGAATAATTTGAAGAAAGATTTATATAACGTTTACGTAAGTAAATACCTATTTAAGACTGTAAGATATTTTGTAACACAGACAGAAGTATGTCATGTGAACGAGACGGACGAATGTGTCACTGAAGTCAGACAACTGTAAGTAGAAATCTTTATATTTTCCATTAAACTTTTGAAGGGAGTTGAAATAAAAGAAAAGATTTGGACGTTTTTAAATAAAGTTGTAAAGAATTTAAATTAGCAAATATACTTTTCTAACGTAAGGTTATATAAACGCAGCATTTTAACAGGAAAAGTATTGGGTCGTCTTATACGCCCAGTAGTCTTATACGCCCAGTAGTCTTATACGCCCAGTCGTCTTATACGCCCAGTAGTCTTATGCGCCGGAAAATACGGCATATAAAAGGAGTTACAAGATTCTCTATTTAAACTAAAATTATAAATGCATGTGTAACATTACTTTGTGATTAAACCTAACTGACATATCCAGTTTAATACTTTATGCTTAAATTAAATTTACATATCAAATGTGTTTAAATACTTTGTATTTTAACAAAAATTAATTTCAAAAATAAAATATGGATCTTGATACTTGATTGTTAAAAACATAAAATATTATAATATTATTATCTTTTTATGTCAATATCCATAACATAACATTGAATCATCTATTTTGTAAACCAACAGTATGAGACTAGTAATATTACACATATTGTGAAGGACTAAGCTGTTCAGCTTCTCACATAAATTATGCATTGCCTGGAGATGACGTCACTTGGTGCAGACTGCGACGCATTTATACAGCAGAAGCTGAATGAATTTCCCTGTTCATTTAACATTGGACGAGCAAACTATCAAATTTATGGCAAGCGCGTGGATAGTAGACGGCTTTGTGAACTCACCTGTGTAAAGAACACCTTGAAGAGATTTGTCAGTAACGACACACCAGACAGCAATGACGATACATGGGTCCCTCTTGAATGGGCGCAGAATTACAGAATAAAAGCTTACGTGGAGGTAGGAAGGTTTGAAGAGGCAAGAAAACTAATCGATGAAATACTGTACAAAACTGAAGGACAAAACATCACGACAATGGCTAATTTGGCTGTTTTATATTTTGTAGAGGGCAAGGTGGAAAGGGCTGATGAAGTTGTGAGACAGCTGAAAAAAATTGCATCGTTTTTTTCATTTTCATTTAATTATTTGAAGGCAGACGCCTTGTGTGAGCAGGCTTATTTCTATTTTGAATTTGGAACAGCCGAAAAAAATATAGCTGGTATAGAGCTACTAAAATGTGCTTTAAAATTCCCTATTAGATATAAACATGAGTCAGTTTTAATGTTAGGAATTCTACACAGACGATGTCTTCATTGGAGCACTTATGATTTTGCCAAAGAAGAAATTGATTTTGGCTCTTATGTTGAAGATGCATTCAATATTTTGAAAGCGTTGTGGTACCAACTAGACATAAAAGATATTGTGAAAGCTCATGCTCTAGCTGAGCTAGCAATGCTCAAGCGTGATGTTACTTATGTTAACAATAATTACACTAAGACAATGTCTATCAACGGCACAGTAGAAACACTGTGTGATCTAGCGTTGTCAATAGCGCCTGGCTCAGCCAACGTTACTGCCATAGTGGGTCAGCTGATGAAATATGTCCCTGGTCGAATTGATGATGCAAAACAGCTTTTGGAGATATCTCTGAACATCAAGCCAACTGGACGCGCTTATCACCACCTAGGATTAATCCTTCTCAAAGAATCTAACGAGTTTGAACATAATCGTGGCCCAGAAGCAAAACGGACATCGAGTTTACCCTTAGGAGATAATATTGAGCAAGAAATCAATATGGATGGGGTTCTTCAGAGACTCCTCTCACAAGCAAAAGAAATTCCTCCCTTTAGTTCAAATAATCCGTTTATCCAGGAAGCAACAGAAAATCTTTATAATTATTTTAGGAATTCAACCATTCGCACCATAATACCGACCGTTGTTAGTTTAGGGCATGCATATATTCGATGTCGGAAATACGATCGGGCACTTGAGATCTATGATCGTCTGAATGCATGTGACACAGATTGGGTACATACGATGCTCCTTGCTTACGGTCACCTAATGGCCACTCTTTGCTTGCTGCTTAAGTCAGAGGTGGAACCAAATGAGACTCAAAAAGTAACATTCCGTAACAAGGGCGTTACTTTGTTAATAAAAGCTGTGAGTTTAACGGCGGAGATTAGCGAGGCTGAGGCGTCAAGTTATGAGCCGTCAAAAATCTGGGATGTGTTGAGAAATATACCTAAATACCACGATGATCCACCAAATCTGCTTCTCAAGTTGAATTGCAAGCGTCGACATAATGCTTAAATATTTTTTAATGGTTTATATAGCTTTTCCATACAACAAATTATTCTTTAAATAGTCATAGCAGGCTTTGTGACTATAGGTTTAGATTACTTTAAAATTTATTTAAGTTTTAGATTGCTTAATTTTTTTACAGGAATCTCTTGAATGTAATATAGGTGTCATTTGATTTATGATATCACATGGGTATAATGGACCACCGTGCAATTCCCAGCACACCATATTGTAAGGCGTCCCTTAGTCACTAAAATGCATGGGAATTAATATATACTGAACTTAACTACCAGTACTAATAACTCAAGAAATATCGCTCCAAAAATATTACCTTCACCTCAAAAACTATTTGAAGCTATTTGCCTATGGAAAAATAAATAAACATAGTGGGTATATCCCAGCTTTTTCATCACAGATACCTAAGATCACATACCAACCTCTCCTTAAAAGATTCCTAAGATCACTTACGCCCCCTTTTCATCACAGATATCTAAGATCACATCTCACCCACTTTATCATAGATACTTAAGATCATCTCCATCATGACAAATTCTCAGCATCTAAGTTAAGATCGAAAGATACACAAATTCATTTATTCCCCAGAGTATCAGTATGCTCATCCGGCTGTTACAAAATCTACATAATCACTCTTATATTCAATATTTTTACCAACTGAGTGAAGCTCTATGGCATAAGGAGGTTTATTATTGTGAATAAGAAATTAATTTAGATCACTTGTGTTTGAGAAATACTTGAGATCATTTTTTAAATTTAAATCCCATGTCTTTAGATCCCTATTGCTTAGATCACTTTTGTTAAGTGTACTTGGTTAAAGATCACTTGTGTTCAGATAAATTTTGTTTAAATCACTTGCGTTTGAGATTTTTGACTGTCACTTGTGTTATGTAGGACTTCACTGTACCGAGCACTTTGTTTGACCCCACATTAAGATTCCTAGCAGACGCTAACGTTTGTTGTGGGCGTGGTTTAATCTATTTGATGTGTCGTGTTTAATACCGACTTCCAATTAAAATTGGTTAGTGTGTCTCGTAGCATCTTGTCGAACGTTCTCGATTCACCGAGAAACGTAAACAAATGCTTGGTAGTTTCTGGAAGGCAGTGCTTACGCTGCATATATAAAGGATTGACAAGCACGAAGATAGAGAGATTCAGCAATATTAATAGATATGTTTAACTTCGGGAGACGTGTATTATTCTTTGTGTACTCATACTTGTTTATTCCCATTCATCATTCATCATATTTAATTGGCATATTGTAACAACTGTGTACCGGTACAAGATTTTCACATACTCTGTAAGTTGATGATTTGTAATTATATTTCTTTTGTTGTGTAATTATTTTAATACTTAAATTAATCTTATTAATTGTGGTTAGCAAATGTTTTGGGTGTCGTATTTATGCTATTGTATTTTTTCTCTTTGGTATCGTCCTTTGTTGTGCACTGTTTAAACGAGCCATAACTTAAAACAAGAGATTAATTTCTCACATTAGAAGCCAGTGCGTAACGAAATTAGAAGCCAGTGCGTAACGAATTGGGGTAGCTCGTCCACGATAACTATAATCCACATTTATTTCTCTCAAGTCCCCAATTTTAACAATTTTGGGCTCTTGCGGGAAAAATTTGAATCCATAACTTTTTATTACACCAATAATAAATAGAGCGTTTTCCCGTGGATATTGACATACTGTATACTTTAAAATACTCAGACTAAATTGAGTTCACGATACCACTTTACGATACCAATAACAGAGCTGGTTACAATTTTTCTTTAAATTCAATAAAATTAGTGTGTTCACTAAGCTTATATTTTTATAAAACTTAGTGTTATATTTTGCCTCTGTCAAAATGGATTTTAATGTTGAAAACCCATCAGTGGAGGCATTAGACAAATGTTCTAGAATGTAGCTCATTGGGCACTGAAAAAGACTGTACGAGATATGATCATCGTCCACTTAGTGGATGAGGATATGTTGTCTGAGAACGAACTGGCCTCAGTCACACAGCCAAAAGATCCTAGTATGCAGCTTCAAACTCAAGCTAAAAAAATAGAGCTAGAAGCACATAGACAGCTAAAAATAAAATTAAAAGAAATGGAAATAACGGCGAATTTGGGAGCAATTGAAAATAGACTCACGGCTCCTGCCGGTCAGGTTTGCAATGCAATTAAATTTGCAAAAGTAATCCCAAAATTTGCGGAAAAAGAGGTTGACCAATATTTTGCACAGTTTGAGATAACTGCTCAAAATTTTTAAATTCCTGAGACTATGTGGTTTACATTAATACAGCCAGCTTTGACCGGAAGGGCAGCCGAAGTCTTTGTGTCCTTGAAAGCGGAACAACGCGGGGACTATAACCTTGTAAAATCTTTAATACTTAAGGCTTATGAATGTGTCCTCGAAGCATACCGTACAAAGTATAGGGAGCTGTGGAAACGTGATGGCCAGACTAATGTAGAGTTCAATCGGGAACAGGAACGACTCCTGGACAAGTGTCTGCTCGCAACGAACACAAACATAGACTTTAAAAAGCTCATTCTGATGGAGGAGTTCAAGAATTGTGTTCATACAAAGGTGCGAATACATATTGCAGACATTGGCAAAGGTGACGCACATACGGCAGCAGTGTTAGCTGATGATTTCAACATCTCACATCAACTCTCAAAGAACCCATCTGACATTAAAAAATGACAGGCACAGTAAGACAACAGCATCAACTTACAGTAAAGCTCCACAAAAATCATAAAAAAGCCTGGTGCAAAAGAAACAAGTGCAAAAGACACATGTGCCTCCTGTAAAAAAAGAAGGACATACGAGGGATGAATGCTGGAAACTCAAGAAGAAAACTGAGAAGACCACACATCCGGGTACACAAATCAAAGTTACCACTTGTACGTCTCGTCATTCAACTGGAAACACATTTTCAAAATTCAAGAGTTTTTTGCCCTCCAGATGTCCATTCAAACTTAAAAGAGGTTTGTCACGTCTCATCAAAGAGTTTTAAATTGAACGATAAGGCTACTTTTAACTACTCCAGCCAAGATCCTGCTTCTACTGCAAGTTTTATGCACTTGTCGCCAAGATCCTTTTGTTCCAAGAAGAGGTCTACCTCCAGAGGGCGTCTTACTGAGGACTTGTGTGCAAGTTTTGACGACTCTACACAGAGTTTTACTTCCTCCACATTAGCCGAATGTTCTCAAGACTCCAACAAGAGTTTACCTACCAAGGTCCCAAATTCTACAACAGACACTACTGATATCATACAAGACTTCATGCCTTTTGTATCTGATGGATTCGTATCACTATCAGGTGATTTTTCCAGTCTACGACCAATCAAAATCTTACGAGATACAGGTGCTTCACAGTCCATGCTACTTGAGGGTATACTTCTCTTGTCTGAGTCTACTGCTACTGGGAGCAACGTCCTGTTACGAGGTTTAGAGCTGGGATGCATAGATGTATCTTTACATCTCATCAACCTCAAATCAGACCTAGTCTCAGGACATGTGGTTGTGGGTGTCTGACCAACCTTACCATTGGAAGGCATCTCGTTGCTGCTAGGCAATGACTTAGCTGGTGGGAAGGTAATAGCCAAACCCCTCGTTACTCATGAATTTTGTTTCACTTAATATCAGGAAGAAGATCAAGAATTTTATCCAGCATGTGCTGTGACAAGGGCCATGAGTTCCAAGATCTCCAAAAAAGAGATTTCACAAAAAAGCAATGGAATCCTTCCTGAAATTGACCTGGGAAAACA